CCCTCTCCTCTCTCTCTTTCTCTTACCCTCCTTCCCTCTCTCTCTCTTTCCCTCCCTCCCTCTCTCCCTCTCCCTCCCTATCCCCCCCTCCTTTCTCTCCTCTGTCTCCCTCCCTCTCTCTTTCTCTACCCACCTTCCCTCCTATGCCCTTCCTCCCCTCCCCAACTTCTCTTCTTCTCACCCATGCTAACCTTTTGCCATGCTCTCAGCATCTCTGTCTCCTTCCTTCCTCTTCTCTTCCTTCTTTCCCTCTCTCATCATCTCTTCATGAAGTCTTTATCATATTTTCAAGGGAAATGTATAATGCATTTTCCATCTGTCTTACCAAATTTTGAATTATATTTACACATCTTGTGAAACTAAAGTATCATTTAAACAGATATACCCAAAATTAGTCTTAAGTTCTGTAAAAAGACAAAAAGTTCTTTGAATTGGATGACTGCATTGTATTATGACTAATACTACTAACATCCAACCTACATAATATCACGATTTCCTTTTTTTTTTTTTTCTTTGCAGTTGATCGATGAAGACATAGAAAATAAAATGTTTGATTTGTTGGTGGATTATCATTTTCACCTTAACTTGGAATTAACAATGCTTGATTTTACCCCCACTTGATTTTATTTTGTGTAGTGCATGATATGTGTATTAGTGTTTTTTGTTTCCGTTCTGATAGTAGACGCTGTAGAAAGAGTTTTGTGTGTTTTGTTCAACTGCATGATGTATTTCTTAGTTTGTTTGTTTTTTGAACTGTGGGAAAAAGCCCAGGAAATTGTTAATATTTTTTTTGTGCATATACAGGCATGCAGAGTCTATACTATATTTCTTTCTTTGTAGTGGTATTACTGATAGTGATCCATGTACTAAATGGAGGTGGGTTTAATAATCCCCATTTGTTTCATCTACTGGACTTGTGTATCTATCAGCTGTTATTTTAGTGCACACAGGTTATATATATATATATATATTTTTATATATATATATATATACTTAATGTTACTGATTATTCTTTTCTTCTCTGTGTTTATAATTTCAGTACGAATCTCCTGCATTTATAACTTGAATTTTATAGACATTTTGAGATGTGTTTCTTGAGAGATGATGTGTACGAGATTGGACATAAAATGTTATCACAAGAGTTTTTGTCTTCTCTTCTGTTGCATTTTACATGTACACAAATATTTCTCGGATGGATATTTACTTTCAACTTCATAAATGGATTTTATGGATTCTGTTTATCATTTGGAAATATAGTTCATCAAGTTCATAAGGGAAGGTTTTTCATGCAGACTTGATATATATATATAACAGTCATTTCTCTAAAGAATCTTTTTGTAAGTTGTTATTAAGTTCATATGATGAGTTAATAAATATAACTGATAATTTCTTTGTTTAATTTTGTCAATAGCTTTATTGATAAATTTCTATAAGTAACATTTTTTAATCATAGAAATCTTATGGTACTGAATAAGACGTAATCATTTGTTTTGAGAAATGAATAAGAATAAGATTTTACAGGGCTTCATTCTCATTTTCCTTTAACGTAAAATGTGAAATGTGTATATAAAGGCCCTAAGTAGAATTCCAAATAAAGATTAATATTCCAGAATTATAATTAAATCTCTTTTATGGCTGCAGATGACACACTGTACATATTCGTCTCTTAAACATAGTACGATGATTCTTGAGATAAAGCATGCATTAGGATTATAATTATTTGCATATGATGTATGGGTTAGTTATAATTTCCAACATAGTTTAATAATTCTGTAAACCTTGAGGAAGATCCAATGAAAAGAAAAAAAATAGATGTATGGCTGTAGTGGCAGATTTCATGATGTGTATTTGTCATTCCATCTGAAATGAAATTCCAAGGGTCCACTAGTCCTACTGCATGTTATGCATGTCCACATCTCATGTAGGTGTTGCTGTTTATTATGTAGAAATATATCCTGCTTTTTATTTAACTGGACAAGACCACTGGGAAAGCAGTGGCTTAACGTTGTGTTTTTCTTTAATTTTGTTTTTGTTAGCATATTTGTTTTCTGTTTGCCCCAACACAGTCAAGTATATCAGAGGAGGCCAAAGAAGTGTACAACTCTCTGGTGGGCGACCAGGCCTGGACTGTGAACCCTTGGCTTTTCGCAGTGAGCCAGAGCCACCTGTGTGTGAGCCAGAGCCTGCGGAACACAACCCACTGAGGATGCTTCGAGCCGGGTCACGGTCAGGCCCAAGATTAGGGGCAACAAGCACAACTTTACCTCAGGCTCCAGCACGATAGAGAGAAGTCACGGGATGAAGTCTGGAGGGGTTCGGGAAGGGTTAACAACAACGTCAAATAATAATTTTGACCTTGGAACACACCAGACATTACCCAAAGGTTTTAAGCATAATAAAGTCCCACCTCCAGTAAAACCAAAACCTTCTCCCTTAGTTATACCTAACTCTGCCTATAACGCTAATAATGAATTTGGGGAAGTCAGCACGACACCAGAAAGCACAAGCACTGATGGTAGCAATCAAGATTCAGTAAATCCTCTCCCACTACCCCCTCGAGATCGAACAAGACAAGCTGCACCCCTTACTAAACCCCGCCATCAGAGAAAACACCCACTCATCATCCCTGGTGGCGTGACCAACTCTTTGCTCCGTGGGGGAGGTCACGTGCCAGCTTTAGCGAGTGTGAGTGACAAAAGTGAGCACACCGGCAGTCGGTTGGTCATCCAGCATACCCATAATCCCTTGCTGGAGACTCATGGCACAGCTGCGGCAACTACATCACCAGCTGATGGATTTACTAGCGATGAGGCTACGAGCCCTTCTGGTCCTAGACTACCACCAGCCAAACCTCCTAGATTATTTACGTGAGTAGTGAGGACTTGTAAGGGCGTTGAATGTATGTTAACTGCTGTACAGTACTGAATATGAGTGGATTTTTTCCTCCTTTTTTATATTAATTTTTGAATGAATTAATTACCTTGACAAATGTTGAAGAATTTAAAGACTGAATGAGCCACAATATATATGAATTTTAGTATTAGACACATATTCATTAATGGATTGTTAGATAGCTTAAGAAATAATTTTAAGTACATTGGATTGTCATTCTGCATTAGAATTGTATAAATGATTGGTGAGGAGAAAAGATAAGTATCATAGCTTGAAGCTGTAAAGACGTCCATAAGGTCTTCTAATTAATATCATGGAGAAAATGTCTATTTATAATCAATCACAAGTGTTTTGCATAAAACACAAATATTGTATGATAATCACATCCATTTTAGTATACACAGCTATCAAGTTCATATTCAGTATACTTTTTTTTTTAAGTGACTCATTTTGATCATATATATTAGGTGCCACTCATGAGTGAATGAAGTTTCATGTACAGATATGTGGTGCTAGTGGCATTAATAAGTAACCAAGTTTTTGTACATAGGATAGGAGCCATACTCATTTTTGACTGTACAATCACCCTATTCTTCATAACAGAAGTACGAGTGCCCTGGATGACAGCTTTGAGAGTCAAGTGGCCAGTGAGATGGATGCCTTGGATGACATTCAGGAGGAAGAGCAAAGTCTCTCTCCTGTAGGTCCTCTACCTCCTCCCTTTCCTAACTCAGATGCCTTCACTAACTCTTCTGACCCTCATGTAACCACTAATGGCTTTGGGGAGGGACCAGGAGGCGGCAGTGGGTCCCTTTACCAGTCTGGGGATCATGTGTCTTGTGAAGACCTGCTGGACTTTGCCATGGACCGACCCAACTCGAGGCGGACACAGGGACCTGCCCGAGGCACTCAGTCAGACGAAGTCCACATCATGCAGAAAGTTCTCAAGAACGAGGTTTGTGCAGAAAGAGATGATAGGTGATAAATTTTGTTTTTCATGTACCACAGCTAGTCAAGATGGTTTTATTTATGTTTTTGGTGCTATATGTAATGACAGATATATAGCATACTATACTTTAGTCAGTGTTTGAAATTCTCAGTTATTTTTATTCAGTGTTATTACAACTTGACAGCATTTTAGGAAAAAAGGCACACTTATTTTTCAACTGCCACATGTATTGATATTCTTTATGCAAATATGTGCAAATGTTGTCTAATAATAAATGGTTAGGAAATCAGTTTACCAGTAGTCTGATTTCTGAAACAGAAAGAGCTTTGTTATTTTGCAATTCCTATATGTATAACTACTGTTTTTCTTGTTCTACCTTAGCAAGTTTCACCTGAAGAATGTGTTGTGGCCCTGAATGAATGTGAGTGGGATGTGCATCGTGCCCTAAAGTTGGTACATCTCCAGCTTCTCTTGATTGTTCACCGGGTGCCCATAGAAGTAGCTCGCCATACACTGGCCTCCTTCTCTTGGGACGTGAGCAAAGCTGCCTCCTACCTGATGGCCACAAGAGGAAGTGATGAGGACACGGCACAAGTTTGATCTGCTGTGTCACTAATGAAAGTTATCCCGGTGTAATGATGACGGTTCTTTTTTATGTAACTTAATTATTCATTTTTCTTTTCATTTAGGGGGGAATTTTCATTTCTTTAAGGCGTATGCTTACTCAATTTGTGTATTCTGTAATGTTTTATTACTGAAATGTGTTAGAAGACTGATGTGATTAAAGAGCAACAAAAATGTCAAAACCAAGACAGCAATGGAGCAATATCACAAAGTAATTGCCTGTCATAGAGTGCGTGGACAACCTTTTCTTTGGCAGCAGTTTCCTAACTCATGTATGAAATATTTTTTCCTGTTGCAGTATCTTTTCTTGGATCTTGGATGTTGAAAATTAATGTATTGAATTGCTGATGTTTTATCATCTAGTTAATATTCTGGAGACATTCCCTTAAGGTTTGAACCTTTTTCTTTCTAAATTTTTCCAGATGGATAGTGATTAATGTGTCCATCATTTGTTGAAAGTTACCAGGCACAGACGCAGAACATGAAGTCAGTACTTAGATTTTATGCCGAGTAAATTTAATCAGCCGTCCTTCATGCCTACTTAAATTGCCATCAGTTTAAGCAGGTGATGAATTTATACAGTTTGTAATTAGCATTAGAGAATAGGTCAATTATCATGACATCCAACTTTTCTTCAGTTTTCATATATCTTTGTCCATAAAGCATGACTCTACAACAATCTATGATAATTTGGATTGAAGTAATATTTAAGTAGATGTATCTCCGCTCTTTGGGATATGTTCTGCTTTTGGATACTGTGGAATAATGAATGCTCCTTTTCTGCTCATATTTATCAGTAATAAAAGTTTCTGAGGGTCTATAATTAGTAAGGCAGCTGATGAGTGTTCTATGATGGATAGAAGAGTAAAAAATCTAACAGTAGAGTCAGTTACAATTGGTCAAGTTTGATATTCCTATCCAAGTACGATTTTGTTTCTTTATTATTGTTTAATGCTTAATTTTTAAATGAAATGTAAATGCATCTGAGGAAGCTTTTACTTCTGATAAAGTTGTATTATGTTGCTCTTTATGATAAATGACAGGAAATAATTGTTCTTTTTGGGTTTATTTTTACTTAAGTTTATTTATTTTTTTCTTTTATAAAGGCATTTCATATTTTTATTTATTCAGCTATTGAGAATATGTACAACTACATAATGATATTGTCACTGATTTTAGATTTTTTTAGTTACTAGAAGAATTCATGACATGAAAATTACAGTAACCCTCATAACATTTTCAGAATCAATATATGGTAGTAATTCCACATGCTGTCATTTATTATTTCATGAATATAGATATACTCCTTTTTTTTAATACCTGTGTACATATACATATTTTTTGGTATGTGGATGTGGGAGTTACATTTTAATACAGTTGTTTAGAATATATATTTTTATTGGGTGATCAATTATGTATCCAGTTTAGATTATACAATTGAAATAGTAAATAAACAAGGTTTTTTTATAGGAAATAGTTTATACTAAAAAGGCCATTGTTTATAAACTAGGTACTAATTGTTTCAAAAATATTTATATTGGTATTGTATAAAATTGCCAGAAAAAGATTCCAAGCTAAAGAAAATAATCATGAATGGATATGCATTGTAGGTATGAAACATGTATTCAACTGTTATCAAGCTGAGTAATGTACATCAGTATAAATATGTTAAGCAGCTGACTCAACCCTTTTATCAAGTAGAGGTATTTTTCAATAGCCTGCCAACATCAGATGGATCCCCTTTGCTTTTGCCCAGTTTGTGTGTTCAGTAAGCAAGAAAAAATGTAAAAAAAAAAAAAAGTTATATTTATTTGTTAGTCTTCCAACTTATAGTTATATTAGGTGTGTATGAATCAAGAGATTATTAATGAGCTTTAATCTTATTATTTTGCCCCATTTATATATGAATATATTTTCATTTATGCACTTTAATTTTGTATTATGTAGGTTTTTAAGCATTACTGGCATAAGAACATTATGATGTCTTGTGTCATCATGTAAGAACCATAGGTTTTTGGAACTGCATTGTTGCATATTTTCATACTTTTGTATTTTTATATGGTCGAATCATGTCTGGTCTGCAACAGTATGTATAGATTAGGAATCTTTGTTGGGGGGGAAAGATATCGAGCAGTCTAGTCTTGAAAGCATAACAACTGTAGGATGTTCACAGAGCTTACTGTGTTAGCTCCAAACTTCAGTTGTTTTGAGTTATACTGAGATGTGCAAGATACTCTATGGTTGAAAGATACTTGCCCATTCTGCAGTTGTTAAGGTCTGGAGCTATGTATTTGAAGGAAGTGCAATGTTTGTATGCCTGTAGCTATATAAAACCTTACATCATGCAGTCCTTTTTATTATTTCCTGAAGAAGAAAGATACAATTGAAATGAGATCCATCATAAAAGCTTACTTCATTTACATTTGATCACAGATATTACGCTATATTTGAAAAGAAGGGAAAAGCCTCAATAAAACATGAAGTGGATTCACAGTGTCAGGTTAATTAGGTAGTTTTTCTAAAATATGAAAGTAAAAAAACAAAAAGTGGTAACATTTATTTTTTAAATTTTATTTAATAATTTAAAAGATAATTAATTCTTTGACATACTTTGTGTCAGGCCAGTTATGGCTCATATTTTTAAGAAAGTTTATTTGTTTAAAAATATTGATATATAAAAAAACAAGACTAGGTGTAAAAGTAAACTTCAGTGCTTTTGACATCAAATATCTGAATTGTGGGAAATTAAGCTCAAGTTATCATTCTTAAAATGTAAAGCTAATGTTTAATTTGTCTGTTCAGTGTCACTAATAATCTATATCAACTGATACTACAGTAACTGGAAAGAAGTTCAGATTTTGGTTCACAAAGTGAACACACACACACAAAACAAACAAATCTGAGACATTTGACAAAGATCAAATCTTTTTCTGTCCATGTGTAATACAAAGGTAATTGCAAACATATGGACCTAACTGGAACTACAGAACATGCAAAAGAACTAGGAAAGATCAAAATGAAAGACAGTATTAAAC